TCTTAGGAAGATGAGTGGTTCCAAGACCTTTCAGTTATCAATCTGTCACAAGGGCACAGTGTATCTCGTGACATGATGATCCCCGAGACGCCTGAGATCCTTGCATGCAGAACCTGAAGTTTCTGTATTTCCCAGGACCCTTAAAGACTTTTCAGAGAGTTCCATTTCACAATTCAACAACAACAACAACAAAAACCAAAACACAACAAAGCAAAACAACAACAAAACTAAAGAAAGAAAACCAAAACAAAACTTTGGGTGTAATTCTAGTGGTAAATGAGTCTTCTTGTTTTGCAATGTCCCTCCAGTTTCTGCTTCTACTTTCAGCCAGTACAACCTGTGTAATTCTGTGGCCTTGATATTTAAAAACCTGTTATCTTAAGCATTTTTCTAAGTTTCTGTGCAGTTTTTATAATGTTTATTTGTAATGGCTAAAAAGGTTCTATTGAGGACTCCGCTAAATTAATTCCCTATGGTTGACTCCCTTAGTTTAGTTGAATGCATAGAAAGGAGAAAAGATTTCAAGCGAATTCGCTTGAAAACTGTTGAGGCTGCACACACTGAATTGTGCATGGGTAGGTAGCTTATAGTCATTACTTCATTCTCAGGGCAATCTTGGGGCTCTATTAGCAGTTAGGCTCTCACTCATTTTAGAACTAGGCAGTTTTCCCTAGACCTTTTCTAACCAAACATACTAGTTGGCTCCATTTTCTGGTGTAGTCACTAAGGTGTAGGCACAGCAGGAAGTCTCCCATACATCCTTCATCCTCCGAATCCTCGGGTTTCTGGAAACCTTTTCTGCCTTATTTATCACAAAGTTATTGCAAACAACAAATCTACGAGAGCAGTTGGGAAAATAGGTGAACAAAGGAAATAACAGCAAGGGCTGAGATGAGGCTTGCAAAGATTTTGTTTCTAGGGGACAAAAAGCTGGCTTTCCCTCAGCAGAGTGGAGGTGGGGGAGGGGTGGCAAAAGCCCAGCAAGGGCACTGCCTCAGGAAATTCAGGCTGCAAAGCAAGCAGTATTCCCAGCCCCCTCTTCAGTTCCCACCAGTTGCTCAGATGACAGAGCTCAAGCGCTTAAGGGGAGTGCTCCAAGACTGAGGGAGCACAGGAGTGGAAGTCTATAGAGGCTCCTCCCTAATGACGCAGCTTAAGGCTCTAGCCCTTTTGAACCTGAGATCAATTGTAAAGCCAGGAAGGGAAGCAGATGGGTGAAATATTAGGATAGAGCCAGGGTGTCCTAGCTTGGTGAACAGATACTAATGGATGGTCATAGGCAAGCTGTACTGACTGGGCCAGGGAGATACATATTTGGCATGATTGGTGTATACGTACTGGGTTTCGTTTAAGAGTTATGCAATAAACTCTAAATAAAGATGAACATATAAACTTCTGGGATCTTGAGACATGCTTCTGGCCAATGGGAAAACAGATCTCTAGAAATTAATGTCAACTTGGTATAGCCCCTAGTTCGAGTCCTCCAATCTCTTATCATACGCATGCATTGTTCTTCCTCAAACATACTTTTTGAATCTTATTTGTATTTTTCATCCTACACAGTCTCTCAGGAAAGCTGCCTGTCAATTAACTTCTGTCTTGTAGAATCATGTTTTCCCCAGGATTCAAGGAACAAACCCAGTCCCTTGCTATTCCCATCTCCTCTCCTCGATGGATTGACAGGTTATGGTGTTTTAGTTTACTCAGCAAAATAATGTGTACTGCAGAGTCCTTATTGGGTGTTTGTTTAATTGGATAGTTGCCCATGTTAATGGAAATCAAAAGCAACATACAATTATTTAGTCTCCCAGCACTGGAGTACATCCAAATGTTTCCCTGTTTAGGATTCTACTTTTGTCCTTGTCTGTGTGTACGAGTAAATGCTTTAGAGTTACAACCACTACCTTTTTCTGTGGCCCTGGTGATTGGCATCTAGTTTTTCCAAGTAACATTGACACACATCTGTTCAAGTCAATTGATGCTCCTCTCATGACTGACTCATTTGGTGGGAAAAGCAAGTTAACATGCCAAGTTGAACAAAGGTGCCTGGATTGGGGGAACAGCAGTAAGAATGAAATGGTGGGACCGGATTCTCTGACTTACAGATCGTAAAACACTTTCCAGTAAGAATTTTAAAAGACATATAATATTACACTAGTGATTGATTATATCTTAACCCCCAGCTGTGAGGCTGTCAATATCTAGTGTGGTAAAATGCATATACATTTCAGTGTTTGGAAGATGATCGTACTTTCTTGAAAGGAGTCTTCTGTGTTCATCTCCCCAAGATTGTTGATGTAGTAGTGGTCACTTTTTGGAAAAAAAGAAAACAAAACCAAACCAGTACTGCTAACTGAAGATGCCTTCAGAATGATTCCTGTTATTAAAATTGTTACAAAATTATGCTCAGTTCTAGTGTATCATAATAACCTGAATGCCATGTCCTAGAACTTATAGAAATTTGGATTCTCGAAGTTTATATTTAGAGCCAGGCTAAGCTTTTCAAAGTTTTAAGAGCCATGTCTGTCTAATAAACTTTATACAATGCCACGTGCACACAGCTTCCTCACTAACAAATAACATGTGTTGGGGCAAAAGATGAGAAACCAATGGAGAGGTGCCTCTTTGAATGTGGTAATGGAGGGTCAATTAATCAGCCGACTCTAAATTGAATCACTTTATACAAGTCTCCCACACATTATGGTGCACATTTAGCAATGTTTGAAAAAACAATTTAAAAGAATACCTTAGGGAGGGAGTTGTTAAAGAGAATTTATAGTCTGGAACGAATTGCCATCTTCTTAATTGACATAGAAGTGTTTGGCGAAAATATTGCTTTATTCACATTTTTGCCCTTGGAGGAAAAACTAGCCACACCATAATTGAGCAAATAAAGGTGCGAAGAGCATTTCTAATAAGAAAAGGGCACCACGCAGTCAGGCGCTGTGTAGATGAGCTCAATTTTGGCGCCCTTGGGCACCTTGGGCAAAGGACATCTTGGATTCTGGAAGGCAATGG